TCTTCTGCAGAGCAGCTGGTGGGTTCAAACCACTGTCCTTTTGGTTAAGAGCCAAATGCCTTAACTACTGCACCACCAGAGCTCCTTTGGCTTGTGATTATATCACTCCAGTCTCTGCCTCTGTCCTCACAGAGGCTTCTCCTCTGTGTGTATGTGAAAGCTTCCTGTGCTTTTTTTTTTTTTTTTTTTTTAATAAAGATACTTTGTGATGGTATTTGGGCCCTCTCAGATAATCTGGGATAATCTCCACTTCACAAAATCCTTAATCTAACCACATCTGCAAAGGCTCCTTTGCCAAATAAAATGACACTTACAGGTCCCAGTGAGTAAGACCTCATATCTTTGGAGGATCATTTTTCAGCCTACCATATAAGGTAATGGGAGGGCTGGGAAAGAGGATGAGTGATGAGAGATTGAAGATTTAGGATCCAATTACAGTGAATGACAGTCACATTCATTCATCTGATGGCAGGTTCTGTACATTTTTCCTCTGTCAGACTCCTAGTTTTCCCTCAAACTGATGTCTCTTCCTTCTGTGAATAATATAACTTTCTAATTTTAGCCAGGCATATGGCTACCCTGAACAAAGACTATTTTCCAGCCTCCTTTGCAGTAAAATGTGGACATGAGGTTGAGTTCTGGCCAATGGGACATAAACAGAAGTACTGTGTCCTTAAAGTCTCCTTAAATGGAAGTGGTGTTTCATTCTCCCTCCCTTCCCTCTCTTTTGCTAGCAGGAATATGGACATGATGGCTGGAGCTGGAGCAGCCATCTTAGATCATGAGGTTACTTTAGGAATGGGGGTACACTTGGTGGAACCAGATAGAAAGAGCCAAGGTCCCTTACACTGTGGAGCATTATATTGACTTTGCTTGCATTGCCTACCTCTGGATTCACTTGTGAGAATAATAAATTTCTAACTTGATTCATACCCAAAAACCACTGCCCTTGAGTTGATTCTAACTCATAGTGATGCTGTAACACAGATTAGAACTGCCAGCACAGTTTCCAAGGCTGCAAATCTTTATGGAATCAGACTGCCGCATGATTCTCCTGTGGAGTGGCTGGTAGGTTAAAACCACCCACCTTTCAGTTACCAGCTAAGCACTTTAAAAACTGCACCACCAGGGCTGTTTCTGTCTTGATTAAGGCACTGTTATTTTTGGTTTTCTGTCTCTCACAGATGAAACCATTTCTAACTAATAATTCACTTTGCTGCAAGTCCTTACCATCCACCTAGTAAAGAGTTATTACTATTTCTTTCTTGGACTTTTGAAAGAACCTATTAACTGATACCCACATATTTACCCATATGCACTTTACCTTTCTTCCAATCAGTTTTCTACACAACAGCCAAAGTGATTCATTCAAAATGCAAATTGATTATTATTCCCCTTCTTCAACTGTATCAGTAACTTCTCATTGCTCTTAAAGGTGAGTTAGTTACAATGGCAAGAGTGTGCATTGTCTCAGCCCCACCTATAGCTCTGTCTTTGTCTCGTACCAGGCTCCTCCTCACCCTCCATGGTTAGTCACATTGGCCCTTCAGTTTCTAAGATGTGCAGTGATTTCTCCCACCTCAAGGCTTTTGCTCATGCTGTAGCTTCTGTCCTGAACCCTTTTCTTCCCCTCCTGTCTATTTGCCTAGGGAACTTTTTCTCCTCACCAAATCCCAGTTCAACCATCTGTTCCTCAGGGAAGTTTTCTATGATCTACTTTACCAAGACAATTCCCCCATTATATGCTCTCATAGCTCTGCATACCTCTTTTTAATAGCACTTATTGTAATTTTACCTTTATGTTTTCTCAGGATTACGTTTGATTAATGTTTGTCCTTTCCTCTAGATGATAAGCTCCGTGAGTATTTTTTGCTTGTTATCGTACCCCATGAGTTGGAATTGACTCTACGGTAACTAATAGCAACACCGTAGTGTCTGGCACGTATATGACATTCAATAATATTTTCTGAATGAATAAATGGGATCTACATGGGAGCTCTGGTAGCATAGTGGCTAAGTCACTTGCCTGCTAACCAGACGGCTGGTGGTTCAAACCCACCAGCCACTCCTCGGAAGGAAGGTTGGGCAATCCTACTTCCGTAGTGATACTGCCTCGGAAACCCAAGGAGGGGTCGCTATGAGTCGGGGCCGACTCGAAGGCACATAACAACAACAACAACAACATGGGAGCCAGGTAGAGGTGGATATGCCAAACAAGGAGCTTACGTTTGATACTCAAGGAAAGATAGCACAACAATCAAGGTTTTCAGCAGTGGAATGGAATAAGATATGGGTATAGAAGTCATTTTTGACAGCAGTGTGCAGAATGCAATGGAAGGAATATATTTTGGAAGTAGGGCACGTTTCAATGGTTATAGCAGATACCCAAGTGGGAAATGATAAGGGCGTGAATTGAGTTTGTGTCAATTCCTGGTTTTTTTTTTTTGACAATTCTGCAGAGTAAATCTGGTTGTGTTTTCATTTTCCCTGCTGCTGGTTTGGGATTTGACTTTCTGGCCTCATTAGTGAATTATTCTTGTTTATCTGTTTTCTGTCTTCCGGTATATTTCATTTCATGTTCTTCTTCTTTTGCTCTTGTTACTGTAATTTTAGTGGCATTTTGGGAAGGAGGAAAATTAGAGACATGGTTTAATATATCACCTTAACTTGTCGTTGTTGTTGTTACGTGCCATCAAGTCGGACCCGACTCATAGCGACCCCTCCTTGGGTTTCTGAGGCAGTATCACTATGGAAATAGATTGCCCCATCTTCCTTCCGAGGAGTGGCTGGAGGCTTTGAACTGCCAGCCTTCTAGTTAGCAGTCAAGTGCCCTAACCACTATGCTACCAGAGCTCCCACCACCTTAACTTAGAACTCCCTAAATTGTTTTATTATGATTATTCTGAAAATTGTTTTATTGCAATAAAATTGCCTCTCAGTTTGAACAATATTTTTAAGTGACATATAAAATGATGACAAAACTGTCAACTGTATGAAAGAGTGGGAGTGTAAATTGCTACAAAATTTCTGGAGAGCATTATTTCTCCAAAGTCTTAAGAATGTATATACCTTTTAAATCAGAAGTTCTACCTCTAGGAATTTATCCTGAGGAAATGATTTAACTTTAAAGATATTCATTGCTGGGTTGTTTATAATAATGAAAAAATTGCCAAACAATTGAGAGTTGACTATACATTCGCAAATCAGATATGTAGTCATTAAAAATTATGTTGTAGTATCAGTCTTCTCAAACGTGGTTATTTACCAAGAAATGGGTGAAGCCATAGGAGCTCTGGTAGCATAGTGCCTAAGGTATTTGACTGTTAACCAGAAGGCTGGCGGTTCAAACCCACCAGCCACTCCTTGGAAGAAAGGTTGGGCAATCTATTTCTGTAGTGATACCTCCTTGGAAACCCAAGGAGGGGTTGCTATGCGTTGTGACCGACTCGACAGCAATGAGTTTATGTGAAGCCATAGGACAAACTTAGCTCATGTTTCTCCAGCATCAATTTTATCAGTGCTTTGGGAATGTGGCAGAGACTGTGGTTGCTGGCTGCCATGAAGTCAGCCCTGACTCATGGCAACATCATGTGGTACAGAGTAGAATTGAGCTCCGTAGTGGTTTTCTTGGCTATAATCTTTACTGAAGCAGGCACTGCCAGGTGGGTGCAAACCACCAACCTTTTGTTTGGTAGCCGAGTGCTAACTATTAGCACCAGTCAGGTATCACAGACTGCCAGAAGAATGAACACATCTATCCTGTAAGAAGTGCAACCAGAATGCTTTTTGGAAGCTAGAATGGCCAGACTTTGTCTGGACTACTTTGGTCATGTCAGAAGAGACCATTCCATGGAGAAGGATATCCTGCTTGGTAAAACAGAAGGTCAACAAAGAAGGGGAAGGCCCTCGAGGACATGGATTGACACAGTGGCTGCAATGATCGGCTCTGGTATATCAAGGATTGTGAGGCTGGCACAGGACTAGGCGGTGTTCCGTTCTGTTGTACATGGGGTCCCTATGTACATCACAGAGGCCGATTTGACAGCACCTAACAACAACAATGTACCGTGGCAGAAACTACTCTTTATCTACCCCAATGTCCATTCTTCCTTTCTTCTTTGGTAACAAAACTCTGATTTGTGGCGGGTAATGTTACTCCTCAGAGTAAAAGACTACATTTTCCAGTCGCAGCTGTAGCTAGGTGTGCCCTTAGGGCTAAACTGCAGACCATTGAGAGTCAGTGCGAGAGACTTCCAGGAAGGTTAGGAGCTGACACAGCAAGGAAAGAAGAGAGGAGTTGGGATTTAGCTCTTTTCCTGTACTTAAAAAGCTTTTGTTCAGCAAAACCAAACTAAATTGAAAAGCAGTACAAAAAAGTTTAAATACCTAACTCTAATTTGAGGTGTGTAGAAGCAGTAGAAAAAAGGGATGTGGGAGGAGGACGGTTGATTAATTTCTGTATGTCAGAACTACGATTTTCTATTATGTCTGATCAGAAAAGGCTGACAACTCTAATATAAAGTGTTTGTGGTAGACAGTCCCTTCTTTGTTTTGCACTGTGCCTATTTCTAAGTCTTCCAGACTTAAAAAAAAAAAAAAAAAAAAGTGGGATTATTTCACTGTCTAGAATCCTAGATGCTGACTCTCTTTCTTTCCCCAAATTTGCCTTGGGTCTAATCCGCAGTTTCAGGATTTAAAATCGATGCACGTGGATTTCGAACTGCACCTCACCTAAGTCTCGGACGGAGTTGGCCCCAATTTAGAATTTGCCGGCAGAAAAGCGATTACCGCTAGCACAGATCCACTAAAATGACACTGGCTAGGTACCAATCCCGCGGGGTCCAGGACTTTCGAGCTGGGGTGCTGCTGGGGCCCCGCCCATCTGCGAAGCCAATAGTTCGGGACTGGAACGGGAGGGCGTGGCTGGCCCTGCAGGGAACGCAGTCTACAGCTGCGGGTGGGGCTACTCCGACTGCTAGTTTACAAGAACACCAGGCGAATGCGGACCTACACGGTTTGTCCTCTCTGGGGCACCGTAGTGCTCTCAGCCAGGCCAAGCTGGCTGGGCTGGGCAGCCGGCTCCAAGCTCAGCCCAGAAAGGAACCCTGATGGCTGCGGTCTTTCTGGTGACGCTCTATGAATACTCCCCGCTCTTCTACATCGCGGTGGTCTTTACCTGCTTCATCGTGACCACTGGCCTGGTACTGGGATGGTAGGTGCCCTAAAGCTAGGGGCAAAGGGCCGATATGAAAGTGGGGGAAAAGTCGCGGTGAGCTGCAGGGGGCACCGGAGTCGGCCGCGGGCGGGCGGGGGCTAGGGCGCCTGGAGCTGTGCGGAGCGGCGCCAAGGGTTCCTACTGGCTCCGGGAGGAAAACAAGTGGACGTTTCACTGCGTCACTCCCCGGCACCTCCTCTGGTCGCTGTGCGGGTACTGGGAGAGTGCTGGATTGGGCTGTTCTACCCGCCTTTGTTTCCAAGTGATAATGCAGTCAGGAAGAGCCTGGGATGGAGTGATTGCCCCATAGGCTTCTGTCAGGGGTTGGCGCCTTCTGCGTGCTCAGTACGCAAGGTCAATCAGTCACCTGCGTTATAGTGCACAGATGCGCACCTTGTCTTTGGGAATGGACAGTAACGAGGCTGAATGTGGTGCTTCTGGCCTGAATCGCGCATTGGCCTCAGATCTTTCAGCATAATCGATAACTGTTAGAGGTTGAGAACTAAAATGGTTACTATGCACATTTTGATCAAACCCACCAGGCACTCCTCGGAAGGAAGGCTGGGCAATCCTACTTCCGTAGTGATACTGCCTCAGAAACCCAAGGAGGGGTCGCTATGAGTCGGGGCCGACTCGAGGCAAACAACAACAACGACAACAACATGCACATTTTGAAGTATAAATTAGTCAGTAGAACTCTGGAATCATAATCTTGTAGCTAAAAAAGACCTTAGAGATTATTGACATCAAGGGGCATGGGCCATTTACCTGGTTGAGTCACGGAGAATAGACTGTTAGATAATCCTTGGGCAAATCTTTTAGTTGAGAGATTCTGAAATTTCTCTCTTGAGGAGATGCTATTGTATCATGTTTAGACCAGCCTTATAAATAAATACAGCTAGTTGAAACTATCTTACTAGAACACCAACAGTTTTTTCTAAGCTGCAGTCTCTCCAAAGTCGCGTTGAGAAGATGTTGATTCCAAATGGATCGAACGGTGGCTCTGAATGGATAGATAACAACCATAGCCAAAAGAGGTCAGATAGTCCTGCTGCGGGGGAAGACAGGAGCTCAATTTTGAAGAATGAGTATTTTGAAAAATAAATAGAATTGAATCTGTATAGTAGAAAGGAGAAGACGTTGCAGAGAACACAGTATGCACAGAGGAGCAGAAGAGAATAGGTCAGTGAATAGAGCAAACTGTAAAATGAGTTTAAAACTACTCTTTGATCATACACACACACACACAGATTACTTTAAAGAAAAGATACAGGCCCGTTCATTGTGTAAAAATATAAGCCGCCTTTAGGAGCTCTGGAGGCATAGTGCCTAAGACATTTGACTGCTAACCAAAAGGCTGGTGGTTCAAACCCACCAGCCACTCCTGGGAAGGAAGACTGGGCAATATACATCCTTACAGATGCTACCTCAGAAACCCAAGGAGGGATGGCTGTGAGTCAAAATCAACTCAATGGCAGTGAGTTTGGTTTTTGGTTAGGAACTAACCAAAGTTTTAACATTTCTGTACAGTGCCCACCCGTCCAGCAATAGAGCATAAAAGTTCTTATTTGGAGTTGGAGGAAGATTAAGACCAATCTTAAACAATTTGTTCATCCTAATCACCAGGTTTTCTTTCTATTGCTGTTTGAAAGTTTGTAATTGGAATTAGGAAGATGTCTTACAATGTTAGTGTTATTCTCTTAAAGAAATGTAATTTTCCTGCACTTAGAAAAACAGGTAATTAGTTGATAATTGCATTATATGCTTACATTTATATTTTAAATGAGCCAGCCAAGTAGATATCTACCTGTAGTATTGGAAAGGGAAAAATGAGTGACAGCTTTACTGATAGTGGTGGCACCTGTGGTTGGATAGTCAGGAACTGCATGTTTGTAGTGAATAAGAGACTAATTTAGGAGTCAGACAGACCTAGGTTCAAATCCTGGTTCTGTTAAGTTTAAGACTTGAGTTGAAACTTAATTATTGCCTAACTGCTCCTTTTAGGTATGACTTTTTGCAAAAGCTAGAAGTCCAGGTTATTGTAGAACTCTCCTTTTAGAAGTGTGGGCTAAGCATTGCTGAGGCCACAAGACCAAGTAAGTGCCAGTCAACTTCCATCCTTATTAAGGCTTAATGAGTTACTTGAGACTGACCTACCATTCTCTCCACTTGGGTTTAACTTTGCCCATGTAGTGTTACTAGACGTGTTTTACTAATGTTTATTTGTAAACCTAAGCTAAGGCCACAGATTCTACTAGAAACAGTGAAAACTTGGACACAATCTGGAGCTCATAAAAATGGCTGATAGTACCCCAGATAAACCAGTTAATCACCATGTTTCCTACCTTTGTCTTCCTTTTTTATGTCCCAAATACAATCTCTATAGGTCATCAGTCTTCTCTGTCATTTTTTTTATTTTTTATTTTTTAAGCATCACTGCTATTCTGAGCTTATTTCCCACTTCCTGTTACTTCTTTCCATTCCTGTTCTCCTTTTCAACCCATGCTGTGGGAGTAGAGGAAAAACAGGAACATCTGATTGTTGAAATCCCAAAACCAGTAGCAAAGAATCATGCAACTGGAAATACGGGATTTCCGTTTAACTACCTGGTAGACTCTGTGAGCACACTCCAGCTAATAGCTTACATTTATTCAGTGCCTGCTTTTGCAAGACACTATGCAGAAAGGAGCCCAGAATGCCATGTCCATGCTTTAAGAGGTGTAAATAATCAGGGACCTTGGATCAGCAGCTACTTCTTGTGTCCTCTTGACTACAGGATAGTAAGCTATTGTCTCTCAGCTTCAAACCAACCTTATACATACTCTGCTTTGTGATGCTGGGGCAAAACCTCTAAACCAAATTGTTCCTTTGATAGCTGGCTGCCTGTGAGGCTTTGCTGTTAATGGAGGGGAGACTGGAAGACTAGAAGAGGATGAAGGGACTTGCCACTGTCTCACCACCACAGTAATGCCTCACTTTGCAGTAATAGTTGGTCCCAGTAGAAGCAATTGTTCCAATGTAGTTTCCACTTTCCTAGTACCAGCCTCATTGCACCCCCTCAAAGATATTAGTACCCTCTCCCCAGTTCTCAATCCCTCCTCCAAAAGTCTAAGCTGAAGTAATTCTTTTTTCTTTTCTTTTTTTTCCCCTGGTCCTAGGAGTGGTAGTGGCCTTTTGGCGTTACTACTCTGTAATATTCATTGTCTCCTTTTTGCCTTTTCAGTTCTTCAGTGCCTGGTTAAATAGTGTTTTATAGTAAATCTTCTCTGTTGAAAGAACAGGGTCTATCTCCTGACTGGCTGCTGACTGATAAGAAGTTGTTCCCAGGAATGGGATCCTGGGAAAGAAATCTTCAAAGATGGGATTTGGGAGTTAAGTCATGTACTCATGGGACAAGATTTTAAGTCATGTCTTTATGGGAAGATCAGTAGTCCATGGCATGCAATGGTATCACAATCAAATTACTAACTGTGGTTGATTGTGAAAAATGATTTCTGAAACAAGTGCCTTGAGGGACCAGGTGGCTGACACACTTAACCATTAAATTGAAATCAAACCAAACCTACTGCCATTGAGTCGATTTCGACTTCATAGCTACCCTATAGGACATGGTAGTACTGCTCCGTAGGGTTTCCAAGGCTGTGAATCTTTATAGAAGCAGACTGCCTTATCTTTCTCCCACGGGATGACTGGCAGGTTTGTACTTCCAACCTTTTGGTTAGGAATCAGATGCTTTAACCACTGTCCTACCAGAGTGCCTTCCTACTTGACCGTGAAGTTAGTAATAATGACTACAGTGACTTGAGGGAGGAATAAGATGATTGCTTCTGTGTTCATTGGAGCACTTACAGAAAGAAAACAGCAAGCTCATGTCTTAAAATACCCAGCTCAAGTCTTAGAAAATCCTGCTGACCCTTCTAATACAATGATGTTGACTTTTTTATCTCACTTGTCAAACCCAGTAGGTTGCATTTGTGATGAGGTTGGTGATGAAGTACAGATTCCTTCTTAGGGAAAGAATATGACTACAGTGTATTTGCATGTTATTGTTAGGTGCCATCAGGTCAACTCTGACTCTGCCTCGTAATGGGTCTTCCCCCAATCCTGATGTCCTGTTTTTCTTCATACACTCCAACTTCTCGAATTATTTGCTCACCGTACAGATTGAATAAATACAGTGAAAGGAAACAATCCTGACACACCTTTTTTGATTTCAAACCATTCAGTGTCCCCATGTCCTGTTTGAACGACTGTCTCTTGGTTTATGTACAGGTTCCTCATGGCCACAATGGACTGTCCTGGAATTTCTGTTCTTTGCAAAGTTATCCATAATTTTTTTATGATCCACATAGTCGATACCTTTGCATAGCCAACAAAACACAGGTAAACATCTTTCTGGCATTCTTTACTTTCAGCCAGGATCCCTGTGACATTAGCAATGATATCTCCCTTGTTCCATACCTTCTTCTGAATCTGGCTTGAATTTCTGGCAGTTCCCTGTCAATATATAGCTACAAATGTTTTTGAATTATATTCAGTGAAATTTACTTGCCTCTAGCACTGCATGCATTTGTTGAAACATTTAATTGGATACTACTCTGTCAATTGCTGAGGCCTTGTTTTTCGGCCACTTCTTCAGTGCAGCTTGGACTTCTTCCTTGAATACCATAGGTTTTTGTTTTGTTTTGAAATTGTGTTTTGGGTGCAAATTTATAAATGTGCAAATTTATGCACATTTGATCACACAGCAGATTACCATGCCCAATGATAAAAAAACTCTCTTCCCCTTCCCTCCCCATGACTGCCTCCTCCCCGTGCCCTTGTTAACTATGTATTCCTCTCTTTCCACAACTTTCCTTCTATGTGAATGCTGCCCCTCTGGTGTCTCATGGCTGATTGATCCAAGGGGTGCATTTCCTTAGAGTAGGTGGGTGCATTGCCTCGGGCTAGGTGTTTTGCATGTAGGGCTTTCTGCTGTTGGACCGAGAGCCAATCCA